GATGAAATGACTGAGTGGGTCAGGGTGCCACCAACTCTGACAGCCTGGGATGCCTGGGACCCAAATGGTAGAAAGAGGGACCTCACTACTGCGAGTTGTCCTCTGGTCTCCACTGTGCACTGTAGTTTATGCATGTACACTCCCCACAACAGCAACAATGATAGACAAAATTCAATTTGAGCTGGGCAGTGGTAGTGCACGTGTTTAATCCCAGCACCCAAAGAGGCAGAGGCAGGAGGATATCTCTGAGTTCAAGGCCAGTCTGGGTTAAGTAGTAAATTCTGGCACAGCTAAAGCTACAGAAAGAAAGAAAGAAAGAAAGAAAGAAAGAAAGAAAGAAAGGGAGGGAGGGAGGGAGGGAGGGAGGGAGGGGAGGGGAAGGGGAGGGGAGGGGAGGGGAAGGGGAGGGGAGGGGAGGGGAGGGGAAGGGGAGGGGAGGGGAGGGGAGGGGAGGAAAGGGAAAGAAAAAGAAAAAAATAAATTTGAAAAAAAGAATGGACACTTCCTTGGGTTCATCTCTTCCTTCCTGGGGCCTGCTAGGGTCCTGGTGGAGAAGTACAGAGAAGGAGAGGTTCAGAATCACCGCATCCAGTCATGCTCCCCCCTCCCCCGCTCTGTGCAGGTGTGCAGGCTTTCTCTTCCTAGCAGCCCCTCAAGGTGTTTTTGGCCACGACTTGCCAGGAATGCGTCCTGACTCCGGGAAGAGTGCTAACCTTCCCGAAGCCTCCATTGTGCAAGGGCCATCCAGGCACTGTTCACTGCCACAGAAGGAAGAGAGAAGCTTGCTAGCTCTGGGGCTTCCCAGAGGTGAGGCCCACGAGGGTGTGGCTCCAGCAAAAAAAATGGAACAGGACAAAACCCAGCAGAGATGTTGTGCCTTGTGGGCATCACCTGGCACTTAATTATCAGAAGCTGAGCCTTCTGTTGGTGCCGGCAGACCCACAGGAACCTAGCAGTGTGTCCCGGCTATCCTGGAAGAGCTCAACAGACGGACAGGATGAGTGTGACCTAAAGATGAATGCTCATCTTCTATGTCCTTGACTCCAGAGAACACACTGAATGGGGAAGGGATTCTCAGCAGCCAGCGGCTCACACAGAAACCCCAGATGCCTTGTCACGTCTAGTTTTGTTGCTAACACTTATTGTGTTCATGTGTGTGCTTTTTACATGTGATTGCCGCAGCGCACCTGGAGGTTCTCTCCTTCCATCATGTGGGTTTAGAGATTCAACGCAAGTGTAAGCTCAGGCTTGGTGACAAGCTCCTGGACCCGCTGGGCCAGCATGCTGGCCATAGTTGTGCCTGGGAGGGGATTGTTTGTATTTTTACTGTTTTGCTTTGCTTTTGAGACAAGGTCTCTTTGTAGCCAAGTATGGCCTTGAATTTATGCTTCTCTTGCCCAAACCTCCCAAATGCTGGGATTACAGATTCGCTACCATATCTGGTTTTAGAAATGCTGGGGATTGAACCCAGGGCTTCACGCATGACAGGCAAGCACTCTGTCGCTGAGCTACAGCCCCAGCTAGCCCCAGTTACAACAGAACAATACACAGTGACTTCTCTGGGTCAGGTTGAGGGTTAGAAGCTGGACCTATAGCGTCAGAAGCAAATTATGGTTCTGGCCTTAAAGGGGGGAATGGAGGGTCAGGAAGGATGAAGCAGGAAGTTGAAGGTACCCATCTTCGGGACAGTGTCTAGGTGATGGAGCAGACTCCGAAGAGTGGGTCCCAGTGAATCTGTGGACTACAAAGGCACTAGTGAGGGGTTTTATATAGACAATTTATAGCCAATTCTCAAACCTGCTGCCATGCCACTCTACATGAAAGGTGACGTGTCTTAATGCCCACTTGGCTCATGTGTACTGGCATTCAGACTTCAGCCCACTAACTGCCAAGGGTATGGGAAGCAAAGGATAGCCAGGTACCAATGAATCTCAAGGCAAGGGTTACTTTATTGCCAAGTTCTGTGTAACCACAGACCTGTTCCTAAGCTCTCCTGGGCTCCGGAAAGTCCTGTCCCCATTTTCACTACTCGGCTTGCTGTCTGGTCCTCTCCCAGAAAGCTCTACCAGGGCTGGGTGAGGTGGGGCCTTGATGCAACTTCATTCTTTATAATAAAAATATTCCAAGACTTCCACACATGCATAGTTGTCTGGTGCTTAGAAGAAATCCTTTGGAGAAGTGCCATCGTCTCTGATGATGCCATCATTGCTCAGAACAAGGAGGGACTCCCTGGAAGCCGCCTTCCCTGCCCTGGGCACATCATTTGGATTATCAGCACAGGTGGCACACTTTCTGCCTTGGAGGGAGGGTTAGCTTTTTGGAGATGCTTAACACAATTCCAGGGCAAGTCTAGCATTGGTGAGTAATAGCAATGAAACATGATTTTTGATCAAATATTCAGATGTGATTTGATTGCCAGGTGGTAGTGGTACATGCTTTTAATCTCAGCACCTGGGAGGCAGAGGCAGGTGGATCTCTGTGAGTTCAAGACCAACCTGGTCTACAGAGTGAGTTTCAGGACAGCCAAGGATGTTACACAGAGAAACCCTATCTCGAAAAATCAAAAATCAGCAGATAAATAAAATAAAGTTAGGGTTTTTAGAATGGGTCTGAGTTCCATTTGGCCCAATCACCCCCACTTACAGACACTGAGCTTCCACTCCCAAGGAGAGGAGTGAGAGCTAGGGCTCCCCCATGGGGAAGATCAGAGTCCCTAAGAAAGTCAGAGGCAGCCCCAGAATGTAGGGCAGTAACTCAGAAGACCACTACTCATTCGTCAGTGCCTCTGCACCCAACCAAACACTTCTCACTTCATTGCAGGGTGACATCCAGGCATCAGGCACTGCCCATTTTATAAGGTCCCATTACTTTATTTTAGTGGGCAACGGCTTTCAGGGCCTCAAGATTGCCCCCAGGAGAAAGGGGGCAAGCACTCTTGTGCTGAGCGGTAGCCTAGCCTTTGTTGATTTTTCTCTGAAGGAAAATGGAAAGGGGAAGGGAGGAGCCGGAAGAAAACACATTGACGAAAGCAATGGCTCCTGTTTGACTAAGAGTGGGTTTAGTCACCACGGACCTGTCTTCTTGAATGCAGGTTAGTAGTTGAGTCTTATGACTCAAGTATAGCTCCCTTCAGACCGGCTTTGGGGGCCTCTCCTAGCTGGAGCCTGTCCACCGCCAGCCAGCAGGGCCAGTACCCCAGGAAGCGGCCCCTCCTTCCCTACCTTCTGTCCCCACCCTGACAGTCAGCCTCACCCCACCCCCACCCCCAGGGGAAAGCACAGCCTGCATTTGGGCTGGAATAGGAATGTCTGGGTGGGTTGTAGGTTGTTGCCTACCACATGCACAGGTTGTGATAGGGCGATTGTAGTTCACGCGGGAAGGCATGGTCTCCGGCCTCCTGGATGAGGACCTGCTCTGCCCCTTCCGGGTAAGGTTTCCAAATCTAAAGCACAAAGAGGATCTCCCAGCACAGAGACAAAGATGTCTCACCTAGTGCTTCTCTGATGGGTGCCAAAAGCTCATCTCATTCTTGGGGAAGAAAAGCGTTAAGAGGGGGGTCCCACACCCTTCTCCTGCTCTTCTTGGCATCCAGTGACTGCTCCAGGATTATATAAAAATAAGATAGATCAAGGTGCCCAAGAAAAGAGTGTAGCGCCCATCATGTCTTTGTATGTACATCTCATGACTCATGAGTTCGAGGCCAGCCTGGTCTATAAGAGCTAGTTCCAGGACAGGCTCCAAAGCTACAGAGAAACCCTGCCTCGAAAAACCAAAAACAAACAAACAAAAAACTCCAAAGCAATTTGAGAGCAGAGATAGAGCATGGATTTCCTCTGTATCTGTAGAAAAGCCAGTGTAAAAAAAAAAAAAAAAAAAAAAAAAAGAGGAAGGGTCTTACTATGTAGCCCTTGGTTGATGGGAAACTCTTTGTGAACTGTTCCTTGTTTTTTCAAGGGCAGGAGTTTCTCTGTGTGTCAGCCCTAGAGGTCCCGGAACTCACTCCATAGACCAGACTGGCTTTGGAACTCACATAGAACCACCTGCCTCTGCATCCCAAATGCTGGGATTAAAGGCGTGCGCCAACGCCGTCTTTGGAAAGGGGTCTTAACTGAGAACAAACAAATCATTAACAATGTATACTAGTAACAATGTGGAGTACTATTTGTCTTTGCGGATACTCAATATATAAGTAGCCAATCAGTCCCACTTGTTCCCTATCAATGTGACTTGGGGGCAGGGGGAGATACAAATCCATCGTTGAGACTTCCTAAAGCGTGTTGGTTGTAGCTAACCTGAAAGACTACTGATCTAACTCCATCCAATAGAATACAAGGCGCAGTGGGTGGCTCAGAACCCCACAGCCTCTTAACTCGCCCCTAACACGCTTTTGGGTAGAGCTCTTACTTAGATAGAAGACATATTTTAGCATATTAGGCAACTGGTGCCTAACCTCTATGGAAGATGCCTACAGAGCCGCTAGCGTGCTGAGCTCCATGCATAGGCATGCGGGGCCGGGAAACAGTATCAGTTTGCGCCGCGATGTCTACATGGGCTGCATCCAACTCACGGCCCATCCATTCGCGAGCCCGCCTGTCCCGCTAGGGAATACCACGCGCAGAAGGCAAAACCGAGAAAGAATTTTGCTAGTCTTCCAGGCCTGGATCCGGCCATGGGGAGTCGGAGGTGAGACGGTGGAGGGAGAGTAGTCGACTAGGTGCGCCTGCGCATGCTCCGGCCGGCTCCCGCCCGCTGCCCAGAGGGCCCTGCGGCAAGCAGGCCGGCCGGACTCGTGGCTCGGTGCGCGTGCGCGGGCCTGCCGCAGGGCGTGTCCGGCACGAGGCCGGGCAGGGCGGGGCGCGCGGGCGGAGGTCTCTCCCCACACACCCCCGGGGCGCGGGTGGGCGGGCACGCGCGGCGCTCCGCCCCACTGACGCGCGCGACCCACGCCTCCCGCCCCCAGGCACACCCGGTCCGGGGTTGGCCGCCGCGGAGCCCCCGGCCCCTCCCTCGCCCGCGCCTCCCGGACGGAACCGATCGCGGCTGGTTTGAGCTGGTGCGTCTCCATGACGACGTGCTCAGCGTATAAGTAGCGGAGCGGCGCGCCGTCGGGCTTTGTCAGTCCCTGCAGCGGCCGCCGCCGTCCGCCCGCCCTCAGCCAGCAGCTCGGCGCCACCTCGGGCCGGCGTCTGCGGCGGGCTCGAAGAGGCGGCTGACGGGGCGGCGGCGAGCGGCCGGACGCTCCTCGAAGTTCGGCGGCGGCGGCAGCGGCGTCTCCATGGGGCTGGCCGTGGGCGTCGGTGCGCTGTGAGGTGAGCGGGACGCGGGAGGGCTGGGTGGCGCCACGTGTCGCGAGGCCCCGACTGCGGTCGCCGGCAAGGGGACACGTGGCCTGGGGCCGGTGACCTTGCTAGCCGCTGCCCGGAAGGCAGATGCTCCCGGTCCGTGGCTGCTAGCCCTCGCGTCACCTCCGGAGTTCTCCCGGCAGCCGGGCTCGGCGCTCCACCGGCCGGCGCGATGAAGGAGGGCAAGCCCCGCGGCAGGTGCAGGGGAGCGCGGCCGCCCTGCAGTTAGTTCCCTGCCGCTTTTAGTTTCGCTACGTGTACAGAGCAGAGTCGATGACCCGATGTAGAAGTTGCTAGACCTAAATTTAGTCCGGGAGTCACTGCTGATGGATGCCCACCGTTTGTGACTTGGAATTAGGACTCCTTGAATGACTTAGTGGTTTAGGAAAAGTCTGACTGCCGGCTGGCCGGCGTGCACGTTTAGAAGCCCGGCTTAGAATCATCAGTAACTGGCAAAAGTGTGGGGAGCTGAGCCTGTCTGTGAGAGGACAAAGAATGCAGCGGTTTTTATTCAAATCTAAGATCGAGCAGAATTTGACTGGTGGAATTCTTTTTGTTTTAATTGGCTTGTATCTCTACTAGACTTGCCTACCCTCTTGTGTTAATTCAGTCAATTACGACTTAGCTACGCCCAGTGCAAAAAAAGGTGTTGGGAAACATTTTTTCAGATTTTATGTATTATTCAGGAAAAAAAAAACGTTTAAGAGATGCGGAAAGGTAAAAGTAATTGGCATCTCAAAGAAAGATTTCCAGGTTTAAGCCTGAAGGGTGCCTGGAAAATACTTAAGACCGAAAATTACAGAGTTCCGCCCCGAGCCTATTCATCAGTTGTAAGTGGTATACGCATAGGCAGACTTGAGTTGGCTGGCACTGGTCTCTATACTTAGGAGTGGTTTAGGCAACTAATGAAGTTGACAGTGCCAAAAAGTCTCATTAAATGGAGAGGCTTAAAGCGTATTTTTACCGTGCATGGATTTGGATTTATGGCAGGCTTGTCACCCTGGGCCTCTCATAGTGTCCTATGCTAGAGCAAACTGGCTCCTAACCATTGCCCAGCCTCTGTGCCTGTAGGCTGTTGGCACTGAATTGGGTCGTACAGTGGAAAAAAGAAACCTTTACCTGGCCCCTGCCTGGTGTCAGTTTCATAAGACTAAGACAGAAACTTTTATTGTTCGGTGTGATGATTTTAGTATTCATAAAGTTAGCCAGAAATCCTACCATATGGTTATTATCCATAACTAAGTGAAAGGCATTTGAGGACAGTTGGATTCACTGAGTGCTCATTTGGTAGGCAATACAGGCTCTATAGAATACCGATTTCTGATAACAGTAACTATTACAATATACTGTGTGGATTTGAACTTTTTTTGTTTTTTCGAGACAGGGTTTCTTTGTAGCTTTGGAGACTGTCCTAGCACTAGCTCTGTAGACCAGGCTGGCCTTGAACTCACAGAGATCCAGCTGCCTCTACTTCACTGAATTCTGGGATTTTTTTTTTTTTGTTGTTTTTTTTTTTTTTTTGGTTTTTCGAGACAGGGTTTCTCTGGCTTTGGAGCCTGTCCTGGAACTAGCTCTGTAGACAAGGCTGGTCTCGAACTCACAGAGATCCGCCTGCCTCTGCCTGGGATTAAAGGCGTGCACCACCACTGCCTGTTTTTGTTTGTTTGTTTGTTTTGGTTTTGTGTTTTGTTTTTTTTTTTTTTTTTTTTTTTTGATTTTTCGAGACAGGGTTTCTCCGTAGCTTTTGGTTCCTGTCCTGGAACCAGCTCTTGTAGACCAGGCTGGCCTCGAACTCACAGAGATCCGCCTGCCTCTGCCTCCCGAGTGCTGGGATTAAAGGCGTGCGCCACCACCGCCCGGCCACTGCCTGTTTTTTAAGTGCCAGTATGGCATGAAAGTTTCCTTATGGAAATTTGTTGGTGGATTATTCACTAAAAAATCATTAAGCGTAACTTAGTCCAAGTGGAAAATGATGTTTACAGGACTGTGTGTAATTATTGTAATGCCGTTTGAAATTTCTGAAGAGCTAGAATGGCTCGGAAATAGAGCAGATAGGAACAATGACAGCCAGTAGTCTACGTGCAGATAAACTTCTGAAACCCACATGCTGTTTGAAGAGGGCTAGGGATGGAAATGCCCTATGTATATGGAGCAGAGCCGTAGTGTTCATTGTGGAATCTGCAGGGTTTGGGAACTGTGTGGTTCACCTAGGCACTGGGATTCCCACCCATCCCACTGATCTTCCTGGGCGATTCATTCCGCCTGCTTACTCTGGTATGCTGTTGCAGTGTCTAACCTTTAATGGTAAGATTCCAAAGGGAGATACCAACGTCTGTGTTTCTGTTCATAGACTGCTTCCACCACTCTAAGGAGACAGCGCTCAGAGTTCCTGGATAGCTGGCCTGGTGAGGAGCTGGCAATAATTTAATTCCATCTCTAGTTTTTTTTTGTGTGTAAGTATTCAGTTTATCCTTGTGGGTTTGTGTTGAGTCACTGCTAAGGCTGTGAGCAAATTTCACCCTCACTTGCTCTATTTCAGAGGCACATCGAGAACCATGAACAACTTTAAGAAGGAGGAGTTTGACTGTCACATCCTTGATGAAGGATTTACAGCTAAGGACATTCTGGACCAAAAAATTAATGAAGTTTCTTCCTCTGTAAGTATGAGAAGCCCTTGTCCACAGCTAGGCTGAGTTCCTAGCACAGTGGGAGTGAGCATGTCTTGATGTCTTGCCAGAGACTTTAGCTGTGGTTGTCCATCAGTGTGATGGTCATGCTGTGTCAGTGACCGCTAACAAGAATAGGATCAGATGAAGGAAGGAAAGGAAAAGAGGGTTTTTAGGGTCACACTGCAGGACTGCTCATGAGGTCCCCAAACCCACTCTCATTCCAGGATGACAAGGATGCTTTCTATGTTGCGGACCTGGGAGACATCCTGAAGAAACATCTAAGATGGCTAAAAGCTCTTCCCCGCGTCACTCCCTTTTATGCAGTCAAAAGTAATGACAGCAGAGCCATAGTGAACACCCTAGCTGCAGTCGGGACAGGCTTTGACTGTGCAAGCAAGGTGAGCCTGCTCTTTCCCCAGGGCAGACACCAGTGTGTCTTGGGCAGTGAGCATTAATGGGCTAGGGTGGGGCACACACGACATGGTTGCCTTTTCTTCCAGACTGAAATCCAGTTGGTGCAGGGGCTTGGGGTGCCTCCAGAGAGGATTATCTATGCAAATCCTTGTAAACAAGTGTCTCAGATCAAGTATGCTGCCAGCAGTGGAGTCCAGATGATGACATTCGACAGCGAGATTGAGCTGATGAAGGTCGCCAGAGCACATCCAAAGGCAAAGTGAGTCCTGAGAGCGAAGGCTGGCCACTCTGTCCTTGCACATCGTAGAACTGGGCTAAACCCTGGGTTAGTCAAACCACAGGGCGCCACCCATTCCTAGGACTTATTTGATGTACTTCTGTCTAGGTTGGTTTTGCGGATTGCCACCGATGATTCCAAAGCAGTTTGTCGCCTCAGTGTTAAGTTTGGTGCCACACTCAAAACCAGCAGACTTCTCTTGGAACGGGCAAAAGAACTAAATATTGATGTCATTGGTGTCAGGTGAGATCTCAGTGACATAGTTTGCGGCTGAGTCATTAGACAGTGCCAGTTTTCTGGGCCCTTCTCATTTTGAGAACTAATGAGAAAACCAGCATCCTGTTTCTTTTTGATTTCAGCTTCCATGTGGGGAGTGGATGTACTGATCCTGAGACCTTCGTGCAAGCCCTGTCGGATGCCCGCTGTGTCTTTGATATGGGAGTGAGTACATGTGACTCATTAGTGGAGGGACTGTCTAGAATAACTACTCTTGAATCTAAAATTAGCCTTTTGTAGGAGTCTTTTCTGTATAACAGATTTAAACCCATCTGCTGTGTGCATTTTTATTACTTGTTATGAATCTGGCAATCTGACTTCTGAATTTTTCTTGGTTCTAGACAGAAGTTGGTTTCAGCATGTATCTGCTTGATATTGGTGGTGGCTTTCCTGGATCTGAGGATACAAAGCTTAAATTTGAAGAGGTAATTTGCAGCGTTAACCTATAGAGACATAGCAAGTTCCATTTTGGTGTAGTATAGAATCTAAATGTTTACTGATACCAAAAGGGGCCAGACATGAAAGTAAATGTCCTGGCATTGTGTTTCCAACTGACTTTATTGTTTTGAGCCAGAATCTCATTTTGTAGTCAGGCTGGCCCTGAACTTGGAATCCTCCTGCCTCAGCTTGTGCCTTCATCCCTGGCCCCCATATATTTTAATGTTCAATCTCTTAGAAAGTGAAGCCATTGTCTAGAGCTTGTGCTGCTGCTTGTACAATCATGTGAGGCAGAGTGGAAGGGTTGGCATGCATTTCTAAACAATTATTTTGGCATGTGGCCCCTATTATTATTTTGTACTATTGTTTAATAAAACAGTATCCATAGTGTCTTGAAATGATAGAGACAAGTCCCTAGCAGAGAATGGGAAATGAAGTAGTGTGCAGGCTGGTTTCCATGGAGATAAGATGTTACGTGATGACACCTGCTGGTGCCAGCTCCCAGGCTCATGTCATGTCCTGTCCTTTAACACTGTCCTTTAGCAATGTGATCTTTCTCTTCTGTGTAAACTGAGTAACGAGTGGCTACACCTTTCTCTCTTAGATCACCAGTGTGATCAACCCAGCTCTGGACAAGTACTTCCCCCCAGACTCTGGGGTAAGAGTCATAGCCGAGCCAGGCAGATACTATGTTGCATCAGCTTTCACACTGGCAGTCAATATCATTGCCAAAAAAATGGTATGGAAGGAACAGACTGGCTCTGACGATGAAGATGAGTCAAACGAGCAAACCTTCATGTATTATGTGAATGACGGCGTCTATGGATCATTTAACTGCATTCTGTATGACCATGCACATGTGAAGGCCCTGCTGCCGAAGGTAAGTTCTAAGCATGCTCTGTAGCAGTGAGAGTGTTGGGACAGGATTCGGGAATATTGAGGAGCAATGTTTTCATACAGAGACCCAAGCCAGATGAGAAGTATTACCCGTCCAGCATCTGGGGACCAACGTGTGATGGCCTTGATCGGATCGTCGAGCGCTGTAACCTGCCTGAAATGCATGTGGGTGATTGGATGCTCTTTGAGAACATGGGTGCATACACTGTTGCTGCTGCGTCTACTTTCAATGGGTTCCAGAGGCCTTCTATCTACTACGTAATGTCGAGGCCAATGTGGTGAGTGCGATTGTGCATGCTGTGTTTCTCCCAAGCATAGATCTCTGGATTGTTCAGCTATAGGCTGAGGGAGGAGGATCAGGTGAGGATTGACCTTGACTGTAACTTGAAGCTAGCCTGTCTCCCACCCAATAAGGCATCTTGAATTTGAGCTTGGTTCTTGTCTAACTGACAACAAATTGTTTTACCTTGAATTAAATACAAATGGAAGGGATTTCTCTAATACTGGTCTTCAGACTTTTCCCGGGAAAGTTCTTAGATCCAATAGCAATTAGATTCCTTTGCAACTAGAACATTAATGTAAGAGTATTCAAGTTAACATATGCCACCCACGATTTCCCTGTTAAGGAAACGGTACATTGAATTGCTTCCTAGTGCTGTAGTGACCAGGGGTGTGCTGTCAGAAGACCTTGGGTGGCTTCCGACTTGGAGGGACTTGGATTTTATATGCCACTTCTTTGTTTTCAGGCAACTCATGAAGCAGATCCAGAGCCATGGCTTCCCACCAGAAGTGGAGGAGCAGGATGTTGGCACTCTGCCCATGTCTTGTGCCCAGGAGAGCGGGATGGACCGTCACCCAGCAGCCTGTGCTTCCACTAGTATCAATGTGTAGATGCCATTCTTGTAGCTCTTACCTGCAAGTTTAGCTTGAATTAAGGGATCTGGGGGGACCATTTAACTTAATTACCGCTAGTTTTGGAATGTCTTTGTAAGATTAGGATTGGCACGGATGCAGTGTGGAATGCTAGGAGATGGGTCACACTTACCTGTGTTCCTATGGAAACTTTGAATATTTGTTTTATATGGATTTTTATCACTTTTTAGACATGATACTAACGTGTGCCCCTCAGCTGCTAAGCAAGCATTTGTAGCTTGTACATTTGGCAGAATGGGCCAAAAGCTAATGTTGTGACCCATTTTGGAAATAAACTGTCTTGAAATAATTGGGCATCAGGGAATGTTTCCAAGTTTCCCTTAAAGAAGGTGCACACTTCCTGCACAGGCTGCTGTAGTCACAGCATAGCAGAGAAGGAAAGGGTGGATGGGATGAGGCCACACCCTCTATACGCAGCATGAGTCTGCTTAGCCAGCCCTGAGTGTGTGTACCTGGCTGTGAAGTCGGTGCCCAGAACCTGTTGGTGAGGAATGTCATCCGTCTGACCTGATGTCCTGGCCACATCCCAGGCTCTTTGAACCTTGCCTGCAGAAACCCGGAATGTTCCTCAACCCTTGGCTTGGCCTGCATCACCACCTAGTAACAACTTGGAAGTATCATACAACCAACTTCCTGTAATAAATTCAACAGCAACTACTGTGTTGTAAATCTTTACCTTGACCATTGACCTTTTATAATCTTTACCCAATTTACACATTTCCTGTGAAGTGTGGCAGACTCTTAAACCTGTAGCTCAGGAGAGATAGTCATGGCCTGGAATCCCAGCACTGTTGTCTTGACCAGTTTTGGCTACACAACAGACCTACATCAAAAAGTTATGTGTAGCCTGAAAGCCATAGCCCTGTGAGCACCTGGAGGGGGGGCAGTTGCCCACAGGGCTAAAGCCAGCTAGTTTGTGCTGCCTGTGCCCTTCTACTCAAGTAAGGGAATCCCAACCATCAGCTGCCTTCAAGGTTTCCACTACACAGACATGGCCAAGCATCTCCTGCCCCAGGCTCAGGACCGTAGCTTTATTTGCTAAGTTGTGAACTTTCTTGGGAGCTATCAAGATTGGGGCTGGAGGGGCTGGAGGGATGGCTCAGAGGTTAAGAGCGTTGCCTGCTCTTCCAAAGGTCCTGAGTTCAATTCACAACCATCTGTAATGGAGTCTGGTGCCCTCTTCTGGCCTGCAGGCATACAGACAGAATATTGTATACATAATAAATTATTTTAAAAATTGTGGCTGGAGTTGGGAGGGAAGAAATAGAGCAAAGCCACTGGTTATGGGTAAAGAAAGGTTCAGGTGGTACCCATGCCCATAACCGCCTGTAGCATCACATGGGAACTTGAATACAGCGGTGGAGAGGCCCCAGTCCAGGCTTAGGTTGTTGGTAACTAAGATAACTGGAGAAATTAAGAAATTATTAGATGAAAGTTTCAAAGATAATAGACCACATGACTACTGGAAGCACTGAAGGCAAGGGACAGATGGGAGGACACCAGAAGAGGGCTCATTTTCTTCAGGCTGAGCTCCATTCTATATAAAGGTGCAGGCTGCTGGGAAAGGGCTGAAAGCCTGTGGGGTTTACGGTTTATACAACTTGATTTTGCTTGTTGTGCAGCCCTAGCTGGCCTAGCATTGGTTAATATAGATCAGGTTGTAGCATGTGGGTGCTTCATGCCTGAAGAGACTAGGAGAGCCTCACAGAACCTGGGTCTTCTGCAAGAGCAACCAGTGTACCACTGAGCCATCTCTCCTGCCCTACAGTTAAGATTTATATATAGTGTTCTATACACACCAGAAGAGGGCACCAAAGTAGATGAGCCACCGTGTAGTTGCTGGGAATTGAACTCAGGACCTCTGAAAGAACAGCCAGTGCTCTTAACCTCTGAGCTATCTCTCCAGCCCTAAATCTAGTTTTTTGAATATAAGTTTTTGACCTTTGAAGAAACAGATCGTTCTCACCTGTCTAACTGGCAAAGGCAGTTTCTTATCCCTGGTAGATGGTAGCCTAGCCTGCTCAAGGGTTCCTTGCCACAGAAGGAGATTGGTATGCCCTTGAAGATACGCGTGCTCACTCTTAGTGTGATGGTAGCTTAAAGAGCAACCACCTGAATCCAACTCTGACTTTGAATTTATCCTCCTGCCTCAGCCTTGTGATTGAATGCTAAGATTCACATCAGTCTCTTGAGAAAGAACTCACTGAGTCTGGAATTAGGCTGTGAGCCCACAAGACCCAGGGAGCCCGCCTCTCCCCACCCACTCCCACACCTTATTACTCCAGTGTCCCTCACCAGATTGTTTGCTGGTGACTACTGACTGGCCTGTAAACCCTAGGGATCCTCTGTCTCCATCTCTCTACTCTGGGATTACAGGCCCCTGCCACCTGGATTTTTATATAGGTCTTGGGATTGAAATTGGAACCACATGCTTGCAAGGGAAGAGCCATCTCCCCAGCCTCTGAAACTCCCTGGCTCATTCCTTGTCTGAATGGCAGCAGGCAGGGGCAGCCCAAGGCACCTGTGGCCCTGGAACGCAGCCAACGTTGGCACCTCATTCCTGCCATGGACTGAGTTGAGCTTGGAGTTGTACAGACCCAGCTGAGACTGGGCCCCTTTGTGGCTAGGCAGAGTGCCTGCCTCTGTAGCTGCCTCATCCTCAGTGGGAGAGAGCCAGCTCTCCCCTCGGACTTGCCATGGCAGGACTTACAGAGCCCAGAATTAGGCAGCGTGTCTCCATTTCTCTGTGATTTCTGCTCCAGTTCTCACCTTGAGGTCCCTGCCCTGAGCTCCTGACCTGGCTTTCCTCCACGATGGTCTTGTGAACCAACGAACCCTCCCCCCTCATGTTCTGTCCCGCAGCAGGATAACTAGTAACTAGGGCGTTTCTAGCCCCACCCCTAAAACTGCTGCTGTTAGTGGGAGAAGGGTTTTTACCCACATTTGCTGCTTGCTTGAGGGTGACCAGACTTGTTTACCTGGCCCTAAAGTCTGTCTGTCTGTCTGTCTGTACTGGCTGATTTTGTCAACTTATGTCAACTTACAAAAGCTAGAGTCATCAGAGAGGAAAGAGCTTCAGTTGAGGAACAGCTTCCATGAGATCCAGCTGTAAGGCATTTTCTCAATTAGTGATCAATGGGGGAGGGCCCATTGGTAGGTGGTGCCCGGGCAGGTGATCCTGGGTTCTATAAGAAGGTGGGTTGAGGAAGTCATGGGAAGCAAGCCAGTAAGCAGGTCCCCTCCATGGCTTCTGCATCAGCTCCTGCCTCCGGGTTTCTGTCCTATTTGAGTTCCTGTTATGCCCAGTCCATGGGGACCTCAAAAGACCACCAGGGAGACAAGGTTTATTGTGTGTGCCTTACAAGCCGCAGAGACGGCAGCGACCGTGTCAGGGCAGCAGCAAAAGAAGGTACCCTGTTCTTCTCGAGGGCATTATTTAAAGGCAAAGCCCAGAAAAGGTACATTGGCAGGGTGTGGGGTGATGGGTTCAATCCTAACTGGCTGACATTTGTCTTGGGGTGCCCTGATGAAAAGCAGGTGATCCTATCTACAAGGGTTGGCACATTAGGAATTTCCTTTGGATGGTCTGTTCCCGGGTAGTGTCTGGGTGGTCTCAGTTTGTGGTCTTTCTAGGAACCAGGTGTTGCCTTAGGGTAAACTACTGAGACTCAGGCCTCTATTGAGCTTGTCATGGCTGGGTCCTAAACTATCCTGACTTCCTTCAGTGATGAACAGCAAAGTTGAAGTATAGACCAAATTAACCGTTTCCTCCCCAACTTGTTTTATGGTCATGGTGTTTGTTTCATCACAGCAATCGAAACCTTAACTAAGACACTGTCTTTTCCCCTTATTTATTTATATCCCAACCAGAGTTTCCCCTCCCTCTTCTCCTCCCAGTTCCTCCCTACTCCCCTCTGCCCCCTCCTCCACTCCTCCTCCTCTGTTTCTCTTCAGAAAGGGGCAGGCCTCCCATGGATAGCTACCAAACATGGCGTGTCAAGTTGCAGTAAGACTAAGCACCTCCTCTCTTATTAAGGCTGGACAAGGTGACCCAATATGAGGAATAAGGTCCCAAAAGCAGACAAAAGAGTTAATGACAGCCGCTGCTCCCACTGTTAGGAGTCCCACAAGCAGACTAAACTACACAACTGTCACATCTATGCAAAGGACCTAGGTTAGTCCCATGCAGGATCCCTGGTTGTCGGTTCAGTCTCTGTGAGCTCCTATTAGCCCAGGTGAGTTGGTTCTGTGGGTTTTCTTTGGTGTCCTTGACCCCTGCAGCTCCTACAATCCTTCCTCCTGCTTTAATGCAGGATTCCCCAGCTCTCCTACTGTTTGACTGTAGGTCTCTGCATCTGTTTCCGTCCCTTGTTGGATGAAGCCTCTGATGACAGCTGGCCTAGGCCCCAGTCTCAGCACAGCGGAATATCGTTAGGCATCATTAAATTGACTTTTTTTTGGGGGGGGGGGGGCGGGCAGCCATGTTTGGTTCTATGCTAGGTCTTTAGGTAATCCAGTCTCTGGGCCCTGGTGCTCCAGGCAGTGTCAGGGGTGGGTTCCCTCTTGTGGCATGGGTCTCAGTGTGGACCAGTCATTGGTTGACTACTTCCACAATCTCTGTGCCGCTCTTACCCAGCACAACCTGTAGGCAAGACAGACTGTAGGTCTAAGGTTATGTGGCTGGAGGCCGGTGTCCCCATCACTTCACTGGAAGCCTTGCATGGTCACAGGAGATGGCTGACTCAGGCTCTGTATCCCTCATTGCTGGGAGCTGGGGTCGTCTTTGTAGATTCTTGGGACTTTCCCATGCACTATGTTTCTAGCTCACACAAAATGCCCCTCTTTTCCAGTCGTATCTTTCACTACTCTCCCCCTCCACTGCCCCCTGCTACCTGATCCCTCATGTTCCCATCCCACCCACCCCCAGTCCACCCCCAGAAATCTCTTCTATTTCCCCTTCCCAGGGAGATCCAAGCATCCTTCTCTGAGCTCTCCTTGTTACCTAGCCTCTCTGGGCTTGTCGATTGCAACATGGTTATCCTTTACTTTATAGCTAATATCCATGCCACGTTTGTCTTATTGGGTCTGGGTTTCTCACTCAGGATGTTTTTTTCCTAGTTCTATCCATTTATCTGCAAATTTCATGATGTCATCTTTAACAGCTGAGTAACACTCCATTGTGTAAATGTACCACATTTTCTTTATCCCTGAAGATTGTTTCCAGATTTGAGCTATTAGAATAAAGCTGCTATGAACATGAGTGAGCAAGTGTCCTTGAGGTATGGTAGAGCCTCCTTTGCGTGTGGTAGAGCTAGGTCTTGAGGTAAATCAGTTCCCAGTTTTTTGTAGAACCACCATATTGATTTCCAAAGTGGCTATAAAAGTTTGCACTACTATAGCAATAGAGAAGTGTTCTCCTTGCTCCATATCCTCTCCAGCATGAGCTGTCTGTCAATTGTGGCTTTTTGGTGTGGGAGATCCTTCTGTCTGTGTGTTGCTTTTTTTTTTCTTCTTTAATTTATTTATTATGTATACAGTGTTCTGCTGGCATGCCTTCAGGCCAGAAGAGGGCACCAGATCTCATTATGGATGGTTGTAAGCCACCGTGTGGTTGCTGGGAATTGAACTCAGAACCTCTGGAAGAGCAACCAGTACTCT